CTGGAGATTTCACTAGTCTGACAGACTAGTGGGCTACCTTTATTGTCTATAGCCCTCGATCCACTAACTATATAATCAATATCACAATACCATAAATCAGTATACTTTGGATATTGCAAAAATTTCCCTTTGGTAGATGTTGCCATTTTGATATATGAAACAGTCTGTGACACTATCCAATGCTTCAGGTGTCAAATTGCCACATTCAATCAATGATGTAGGATGTATTGTGATTAATTGTTTTATTGATCTATTTAATTATTTGATTGCCAGTAACTTTTATAATAACACTGTCTATATACAGGAAATGGAAGTTTATAGGATATGGCTTAATTATAGCTGTTACTGTAACCTGCTCTGTCCATTATGAATATTTCAATTCATGAGTGCAAGATTAAATTTCAATTTTACTTTTCAATCAATTTTGCATTTGCATAGAAATACCAAATACATCACATATAAATCTTTGCAAAAAGCACTAAATATTATGACCATTAAAAAAAGCATACCATTCAAGATGATAATTCAATATGTGTAATAATATTGATCGAAGTTTCACTAGAATGTATATATTAAATCAGATTTGGAGGAATAAAATAAGAATTGTTCGATCTTTGTCCAACCCTGCATTCTATATTGAACCCTACATGTAAAATCCTCATAGTGTGGGGCATTCATAAATTCATGAGCAAGCAACATCAATATAAAAAACGTAGTATAAATTGATGTGATAAAAGAGATATTGCTTAGTCAATACTTGATTATATTGGACGGTCATCAGGATGGAATACATTGGCGGTACATTCAGGGTCATTATTACAGAAACGTGCTGGTCACTCGGTGTTGAATCGATACAAAAAGCCATTGTTTATAACGGGTTGAAATAATAGTATGTGGTTAAGACTAAAGTTAGTTTTCACTCTCTCTACTACAGTTACCGTAATTTAGTACAGTCACACCTAGCGATTTTTTGCCCATTTTTAGACAAGCACTCTAGTTAGTCAAAAATTACTGTTCCTAAAACGTGTCAAAAATTACTGTTCCTAAAAGGTATCTTTTCTTTTTGAAATATTTAGAATGAATGCCTACCTGTAATACCAACCCACTCAAATGTTTTTGACAGAGCCATTTCATTTCATTTCATATTTTATTGAGTAAACAATAGGATTGAACAGCAGGCTAGGCCTATATAAGTTCTCTCCTTAAAGGTTGACATGACATAGACAAACGGTTAGTAAGACAGAGTCATCAAAACTCGTTTTGGGATTCCCATCTCATTGTGGTAATTCCTCCTGCATCACTCGACTAGTACAGTGTAAACTGAATGCTGAGTTGTCCAAAACATCGCAGATCTCCTATATACCTAAAACTTTATATCTTCTGAAATATAAACTCTTACTTTGCTGTTTTCGGTCTTGTTTTCTAGATCTTACCCTGAACAGATACATAGTTTATTCGGTCTGATCAATTAATTGGTGGTGATCAAAACACATTGATTCATTTATCAATTTATCGATGAGTACAGAATGCAAAAAATGGCTCTGTAGTACATCCTATAACATGCTCTGCTTTTCTTACTTCCACTTCAAAAAGATTGTCTCCATGGTTACAAGATATTGATCAAGATGGATGGGACCGTTCCAGACTTGATGAATAGATCAATTAATATGAGGAAATGCAGAGCTTTTGGGTATGGGAAAGATTAATCTGTATGAAAAGTAAAAAATATTTCTTTAGGCTTTGGGCTCAAATTGTTCATCAATTGATGAGTGAGAGACTGTGGCTATCAGCTGCACGAAAACTGGCCTCAGATTCAAATAAGCTAGCTATGATAGGTTGCTGAAGGAAATTCAGAATTATAAGACATTACATCTCAAAAAACATTGTTATCCAATCAATGTGTTTGTGTGTATATATATATATTTTGATACAAAAACGGTGCAGCATGCAAGATTATTGTTAGTATTGCATTTTCAGTATTAACCCTTTCACCCCTATATAACTTTAGTAGACTCTACCATGCATCGATCTGGAAGAGTCCATTTTAGTCTACAGTAGTGAAAGGGTTAAGTCTTGTCAAATCTTGTGGGCATGCACATTTTACCACTTGAAAGTGTCATGTTGACTAGGAACAGACTGAATTGTCTGTCTACAATGACATTGGATCTGCTATTTTCATTAGTTCTACATGTAAATTGTTACTATATTTATCCGTCAATAAAGCCCAGGGATCCAACAAATGATGCAGAAGTTTATATAATAGTGAAGTTATCACAGTGGAGGCCTGAATCTTAATGTACATTAAAGATGTTTTCTGATTATAAAGCTGATGGTGTGACATGATATTATCTGTATAATGTGACATTAGAATTATATACTCCGCTCCTGAAATGCTGTGGCAGATTAAAAATTCTTACACATTCATTTATAACTGCTGTTTTCTTACATTCAGGATAGCTGTAGATCTGTCTAATACAGATATGGAGTATAATCTTCCTATATAGTGGAATAGTCTCCGTGGAGGACAGGTTGCTATGGATATTGTGCAGTTAGTCAATCCATTCTCAACATGAGGTTCCAAATTAGCTACCATATGATATCAATACTAATTTTTATTTATTTTTTTGTAGTCATTATGTTTTTCATAAATTTCTGAGAAACTTTCCATGTTTCTTTTCATAAAATTATGAAAATTTCTTGATATATCTGCGTATCATTTTCCTAGGTTTCTGAATATACAGGTACACGTCATTAGTGAAGGGTATCTTCTATGTTGTCTATAACTGCAAGTCTGTGACATCAGAATATTATAGATATATATAAACATGAAGGAAACCCTAGGAGAAATACATACCTCTGTATATAAATCCTAAGCTAGTATAATACATATACTGGCTTCAATATAACCTCCGTCTGTTACCAGAGAATAAAGGCAGTATCAAAACAGATATGAATGCTATTGTTATTAAATGCTGAGCCATATAAACTTATGTTGTGTTACCCAACATTCTGGGTTTATTACACGCTGCAATACTTGATCAAGCATATACAGACATTTGCTCAAAGTAACAGTTGTGAAAAAGGCGAACACCTGGAGTAATATATGTATCAGCACAAATGCCCAATGTAAATATGATATTTATGTCCCCGCCATAAAATGGGGGGGGGGGGGGGGGAGCATATAGTGTTGCCTATCTCAATCCTTCCCTGTCCCATCCTGTTTTTAAGAATATTGAAGTATTTTTAAGAAACCAATCAGAGTGTTCAAAATTATAGCACTTCTGGCAACCTTTAGCTTACACATTGAGCTTGTGACGTTTTTTCAAGAGTTATCTCCCTTCAAGCCTTTAGATTGGTTTCAGATTTGAGGTGTTCATGCAATTATTCATTACCTTTCAGACCTGTCATAAATTATCTAAACCCATGCAAGTTAATATAGCAACCCTGAAGACACATTTGAACTCTTCCAATTCAAAGGTTGGAATAGTTCATTATGAATTTTCAGGGGTGAATGAGTTTGTGAATGCGAAGCAAAATTATTGTTATTTTGGAGATTTTGAATATATTTTTTTTCATTTGTAGGTTTAAGATTTATAAGTCTATAAAGCTACCAAACCTTGGAGTAAATGTGCTGTTGGGTCATGTTGTGCATTATATATGTTGTATCTGTTTACATGACCGTCAATCGTTTGTCAAGGAAAACCTCCAATTCTCCCTTTTCAGCTTTGCATAGAACAAGTTAATGCCCACTGAGCGTTAGTGAGAAAATAGGAAATTGAATGTGCTGACTTAAGCACCATGTAAATGGAAAGTTCAGGTTTGTATTCTCTGTAGGGCTAACTCGGAAATGGAAATGCATGATCTCAGTCTCAGAAAGGTTGATGGGTTAATATACCCAGCACCGACTTCCTACAAACTTATCTGCCTTTTATGGTTGTTTTATCGACCAGGTGTCCCGAGTGTGATGGACAAAGCTTTGACCGTCTGCTGCAGACTTGGTAGATATGAATACCAGACCTGCAATGTATCAAATATCAACATTTTCTAAGAATTTTGGCATGATGGTTGGAACTGCAGTGAAGTTTGTAGAGGTCAAATGTCAAAGACAAGACAAAATGGTATTGATTCTTTCAAGATTAACGTGATGCATAGCCCTTGGAACCGGAAAAAATATCAGGGGTCTAATACTCAAACACTGCAATGAATAGCTTTCTAGCATGTTTCATGCAAGCTTTAAGCTTTCTCGATTTGTCTCTACTGAAATTACAACAATTACAGTAAAACTGTAGTGCAGCGACAACTTCTTATTTCTGCACTTGGTCATTATCTACGCTCAGCCAATTAACTAAACTTCCTTACGAGAATGGCTGGATAGTGAAAAAGCTGGATTACTGTGTTAGTTTATGATAGAGTATTAAAGGACAAATATAAAATGTGTGTTGCCTGACAGGACAACCAATTTAGTAGTGGATTGAATATCAGGAAGACTCGGAGCTGGTTACATTAAAATTTGTTTATTCCCCCACCCCCCACCCCCCCAATTTTGGGGGGGGGGGGGGAGGGGCATATATAGTGTTACCATGTCCATCCCGTCCCATACCCTATCCCAATTCAGTGCCATTATTCTTGCTTTCCATTTCTTAACGGCTTGCTATCAAATTTTGTACACAGATGGACTTGAATTAGCTTATATTGCATGGTTCAAAGGTCAATGTCACCATTGCTATTTATAGAAATTAGTCCAATACATGTTCCAATCAACATTAATTTGTATGAAAGTTGGGGCATTCCTGCAATAAACACAATCAGAATATCAATTCATACGGAAATTAAAAAAAATCCAGAATTTATTCTGACCATAGATATGTTTCCCTTCTGACAATTTGTCTGATGGGTTAAACATAATGACTTTCAAATTTCCTTAAATTTCATCTGTTTCATACTTAAGATTTGTTCATACCGGGTAAATAGTAAACAATGATTGTTATTGTACATTACAGAACTAAAGCCTGCTGGACAGTGACAAGATGTTGGCCCCAAGCAGCTTCCAGCCGAAAACCATACTAGCAGCAGACACCAAGCTGCCACCACCCATCCGCTCCCGCTACAGGAAGTTTGATATCTACCCCGATGTCAAGACATTCAAACTTATTGACGACCATGCCATTGAGGTACAGATCTATGAGGAAGCAGAAAAAAAGAGTTTAATTTGTAGGGCTGCAACGATACATTAAAATGATGATATGATAAGTACCACAATACTGTGGTCACAATACGATACGTATCACGATACATATGGTAACAGTAGAAACAAAGTGAAAAAATATGTTTAATGGCAATATTACAACAGGAAATAGACTTGGTCCTTAATGGGCCTGACTTTAAGGTTTCACACAATTCATGTTTTTCGATGTGTATGCCGAGCTAGAGTTGTCACCCATCATGTGGGATTGGAGTAGACGAAATTCAGAAACGGCAAAATCCAGAAAATATTGTAGGTGTTTCATGACCTAAGAAATATTGTGTCATACCGTATACAAAATATCTAATGATACCATCTCGCGATAAATCATTGCAGCCCTAGTTAATTGTATTGTTGAATTATGATAACGATAGTAATTGGGAATCTGTTTATCCAGTCTGTTTGCATGCTGATCATGAATATTTAAGATTTCAAAGGTCTTGAAAATAATGCATACCTGAATAAGTATACATGCCATTTTTTCAGAAAATTTAAATTTCCACAGTGAAACAATTTAGACCTTAGTCCTAGTGTGGAAACATCATAAAACCTTAACTTACTTGATAGAGTTTTTTGTTTTTTTCAAACATTTGAGAAGTTTTGACTTATCTGGTAATTCTATGACTGTTCATGATCCTGCTGATGCCAGGTTTTCATGAAATTCTACAGTATACAGAATGCATAAATGATAATGCTAATAGCACAAGCATAGTAATTGAGAAGATTTTCAGAAGACGATCTAGAATCCTTGTAAATGAAATACTGTAGATGTTTTTACTAAATTGGATCATTTAGTCATGGTTGTTTTCGGAAATCGACAGTACATCTTTAAGGCAGAATTGCTGTATTTGAGAAATACTGCGAAGACTGCAATAAAATGGAACTCAAATTCTCCATTTCTGTTGCGATAACGTTTCCTGCATTATCTGAGCAATGTAAGAAACATCTATTATTGGCAATAAATAAGATATGAAAATACCACAGAACATTTACATGTATTCTACTTCACTAGCACTAGTAATATCGTCGAAAGGTAATGGAATTGTTTGATGTGGTGTGAAAATAGTTAACCACACAAGACTAGGTAAGTTGGCACGGAGAACAGAGTTCTCGACCATATAGCCAACCAGAGCCAGCTGAAGTTGCCATCATTTGCCTCCCTTCCAGTTATTGAGATGGGCTGCATGCATTCTTTCCTAGCTCAGAAAGATAAGACAGGCAGGTCTCAGTCGCAAAGATGTATTTTATGTATTTTCTGGGTTTTCACATCTGTCCAAACACTGTAGCTTTGTTAGGGATCAAAGCAATCCAGAATTGAATGTCAAGGTCATTGACTGTTTCTGTCAAGGTCATATAAAATGCACTTTTCAAGGATGATTCACCACTCTGTAAAATAATAATTATGCAGGAGAAATTTATCTTTGTATTTGGAATAATATTTCCTCATAGAACTTTTCTCTATCAAACCAAGATTGCCTTGTTTTAAAGGCAAACAATCATTGCCTACCGTTGTCTGAAATCTCAAGACTCCTAAATATTATAGACCCTGAAGCTAACAAGAGATGGTCATTGAGCTAAACATGGAGGCAAACAGGGATTGTGTTCCCAAAGTCCAATGCCATTGCTCCAGACTTTCAAGAAAAATTGGGATTGTTCCTAAGCTTATTTAATGCTGTAAGCCATATGCTTTGACTTACAAGGCAAAGAGGGTCTCTTCCTTAAGCTGACATTACTTCAGATTTTGAGGCAAGCTTACTAGACAAACTTACGAGGCAAAGAGGGTCTGTTCCTTAAGCTGACAATGCTTTAGACACTGATGTTAACAGGAGTTTCCCAAAGTTGGTGATATGCAAGTAATTTAGTGTTCCCTTAGTCAATTGTTTTAGACCTCCAATTTAAACAATGTTTAGACCTCCAATTTAAACAATGACAGTTCCCTAAGGCAGCTGTGGAACTAGACAAGGACAGCTCCCTAAGGTAGATGTGGAACTAGACAAGGACAGCTCCCTAAGGTAGATGTGGAACTAGACAAGGACAGCTCCCTAAAGCAACTGTGGAACTAGACAGGGCCAGCACCCTAAGGTAGATGTGGAACTAGACAAGGACAGCTCCCTAAAGCAACTGTGGAACTAGACAGGACAGCTCCCTAAGGTAGATGTGGAACTAGACAAGGACAGCTCCCTAAGGTAGATGTGGAACTAGACAAGGACAGCTCCCTAAGGTAGATGTGGAACTAGACAAGGACAGCTCCCTAAAGCAACTGTGGAACTAGACAAGGACAGCTCCCTAAGGTAGATGTGGAACTAGACAAGGACAGCTCCCTAAAGCAGATGTGGAACTAGACAAGGACAGCTGCCTAAAGCAGCTGTAGTGGCAGTGTTCCTCATATGTTTTAGATTTGAGGGTTTATTTTATAGATTTTCAAGATTTCTGTATGCCCATGTCCTTAGTAACACAGGATTTGAAAAAAATGGGGGTACAAAAAACCAACATGTGGGTTTAAAAGGAGAGCACTGTCTGGTGAAGGCAAACACTGGGGGTGTTCTTGAAGCTACTTGTTGAGGCCAACAGGGACTGTTATGTAGACTGACAAGGCTTGTATCACTGACTTTGATATAAGCCTCTGCTGACAGTACTTCCTCATCTTCTATTTCTGGACTCTGTTATCGCAGACAAAACCGAAAAAAGCTATTGGAACAATAAATAGATGGCTTAAAAAGTGTTCTCTGCAATCAGTCATGGCAGGATTTATAGAAGTCATTTTGTTATCTTATCTGGTGGAGCCTTGTGGGATCCGAGATTCTGTACACAAAATTACCGTGTCTGACAAGTTACCTCAACCAATCAAAACACTATCTCTAATTTACTGCAACCACTCATCCAATCACAACACAATCTTTGATTTACTGCGGCTATAATATAAGCTTATGCACAATGCAAACTGTCTTATGGTACAACACCATAAAAGTTTTGCAAATACTACAGGAAAATTACATTTTGCAAATACTTGAAGAAAATTGCTTCAGACGTGTTTTTTTCTCACAAATTCTTTATTTTGTTTCACTAAATTTTCTTATAAATATAAATCTGAGATTTTCCCATTAAATCTGAGAAATGCATTATGGAAAAAATGGTTTTGCATAAAATTAAGCTTTTCAAGTCAAACTTTCATTGTTAAGAATGTAGATGGATCAAATATTCCATATATGTTCTCTTGGAGTTGTATATTTTTGTTTTTCACCAATATATGTTGTTGCATTATGTATGCAAATAGAAAACAAAATAAAAATATTACATCTGATATATATTGTTAACTTCATCATTCCAACAGCTTTGATATAATTAGGGTTGACAGTTAAATTTACAATTTTTAATGTTTTTATTTTTCCTCTCCAGGTATCAAAGCAAGACCATCCCACATTCCGTGACCTGATCTATCACCTGGTCTACAGCCCAAACTTCCAAGCTGAGCTTGACAAGGCCAGGTAAGGGGACAAAACTCTTTGCAACTCCAATCCCAGATATAGAAGTATATTTACATAGAGGAAGAGAGAGATAGTTTATAGAAGTAAATTTACATAGAGGAAGAGAGAGATGGTTTATAGAAGTAAATTTACATGGAGGAAGAGAGAGATAGTTTATAGAAGAAAAGGATTGGTCTATACTAGGAAGGGAGTTGTTTATACAATCACAGGGCCAGGTCATATACAGGGATTTTGTGGTTGATATGGAGTTGTCTAAATAGGGAAGGCATCCATCCTGGGTACTCCAGGGGTTAAGCTAACTTGCTCTCTCTGCACCCTGGAATATGACATGACAAAATCGAAAGCTCAATGTGTGCCACTTTGTGTATGAGATAAGAATATTAGTTCAATCCTTTGATGTGCATAAAAGAATCTCTTGTAACAGTAAAATTGACTGGCTTGGAAATCTTCAAAGGAATGGTATCAGCATATAGAGATTGGTCAGGTTTGTTTTTACCTGAGAACAATCAAGTAAGCAATCTTCTGCCTTCAATTTTGCTATGACATATTCCAAGGGTGCAAGGAATGTAAGTGAATGTAACCCCTGGAGTTTTGTGATGGGAAGCGACCATGTCAATCGAGATTGTGTTATTCCAAGGGTGTAGTGAAAATATAAATATACAGAGCCGAACCCTTGGATTTCGAAGATGCCTATGCTGGTATACTTAACTAGATTTCTGAATGATCCAACGTGTTGATCCAATGTGTTGCCGACTCTGTGTAGGGGTTTAGTTTATGTGACAGGAGATATGTTGTAGGGTCACTGTCTATCTGGCCCTGTCTGCTCCAGGGAGGGCCGTGTTTCTATTAAGTACCTGTGACGGAAGATGTTACCAGCTATCCTCACTCTCACTTGATATTTTTGGTAACAAGATAACTATAATCTGTACTACAGACCTTTTAAGTTACATCTGCATGTGGTCGCAGAGTAAAGTAGCGACTTCTAGTCAAATGTGACTTAGATTCTTTTCCATTTATAAGGGCAGCAACTCGGGAGAAAAACAATCAGCTACCCATGTCTACCCTGGATTTTAGTGGCTACCCTAATACAACTATTAAACTCTAATACAACTGTTAAACTCTGAAACACTCTTTTCACGTAACATTTGTAAAATTATTTTGCTAAAAAGAAAGATTTGCATGTAACCTAGCTAGCTAGCTGCAGCACACAATATTTTAGAGAGCCAAAATCATCTTCAGTTGTCAACAGAATTTAATCAATAGTTGAGAATATTTTGAATAAGTTTATATTTCAGGAACCAAACATTAAGATCAAGGTCACCAATTCTATTCATAGAAATTTGTCAAAATATATCCTGTTTTTGACTCAGTGAATACATTTGTGATTTCCCATTAATTTAAATAATTAGATAGGCCATGACCATATGTAAGAAAATGAGGTACTGATTTGTTTGTTATGTGGCAAAACATTTCAAAAGACAAACTTTATGCATACACAATTTAGCCTCTTCAATCCAAGCAGCACTAAATCCAGTTGTCTCACTATGTTAATAGCGTGTTTTTACAAAAACAGGTGGGTTTTTTACAATGAAATCATCCTATTAACCAACTGTTTCAAAACTGAGCCACTTGCGTCTGTTGAAAATGAGAAAAGGACAGCTTCAAAATGTAAAGAATTTGCTAGTGACATGAATGAACCAGTATTTTGTGTATAGTAGAACCTGGACATGATGCCCCTCGTTTATTTGCCAACAACATATTTCAGTGTCCCTTTCTCTCGTTTTCTTCAGAATTACTTTATACATTTCCCTTAATTTATTGCCAAACCCCTTTATAATGCCAGACTTTCTCTGGACAAATGGTGGCAGTATAACAAGGTTTACTATATATATATATATATATAGTAAATAAAAAATAAATAAATCCTTGCAAAGGAAAATATAGAATAAAAACATAAATTTTTCAGATCGTCCGCTAGGCCTTTCTGCCTTCTAGGGCTTCTTCAGGTGGATTCCATATAATATATACAATAGGTCCTCTACATCAGCGTTCCTTGTCCGCGATGCTCTCAGCTTAATTGCTGCCTTCGGCTGTCTTTAGCCGAGGGGACTATTGGTTTTATACAATAGCTATATTTTCAATTCTAGTATATCAATTCTATCTTCTTGTAATATGATGTATATGTACATGTAACTGTTCTGTTTCACTGTGTCTTGAAAAAGGAGCGAATCGCTCCGAAAATTTGACAACCTAAACTTGTCCACACTGTTGGAATTACTTCTTTGCCCCATATATATATATATATAAATGAAGAATCATGTATCAATATCGTGTTCTTCCTTATCAATATAGAACTTTACATTAAAACAATTCATCTGGTTTCTATCCATTTCTAATAGACCGTTGGTCTTGCCTGTTTGTTGGCAGCCGTTGTATGGTAAAACCTCTCTTGGCAGTCTCTCGGCTTCACTATCCTTGTAATGTCATTAGGGTGTGAAGGTTTGAAGGAATTCCATGATAATGCATTCTTGCCAGCCTCTGAATCATGGGTTAACAATGATCTGGACGCACTGTTATGGGAATGTGACTAAATTGTGTTTACTCTTCTTGTTATTGCTTAAAAGTATTCAGGAAAACTAGCCTCCGCTAGTGCTGTGCATTTCAAGGATTATCGGCATTCCTTTGATTCCCCTGAATCCTGACTTCACACTTTACAATATGTCTTGTAGAATACATATCAACATAAGGTGGATCAGTCATGTTTCTAATTATTTACAATTTGTGAGTATGCAGAAGATGTAGGCCTGTAACAGTTTATTACAAATTGACAAGAGCATTTTTACATTGCGTGACACATGTAACAACTTTTCCCATTATTTTGCCTCCGAAAAACTTTTGTAAGTCAGGATTCCCTTGACCTCCTGGTCAGCCAGGAGGTTTCTAGAAGACAATAATATTAATATTTTAATCTTGATGCAATAATCATCCTGACTCCTGTTCAGTGTGTTGCAAGGTTACACAAGGTCAAAGTTGAGACCGTTAGATTGTTTAGCATCAACTTCCGTAGACTGGCTACCAGCCCCCAAGTTTTTATGAAGATTTTTTTCCTGGCTGCATTTTACTGCTAGCTTATCTCCACTTAGTTTGAGAATCTAGAATTGGACATCCATGTGATCAAAATTATGTGAGTTATATATTTTTAGGTCACCTGAGACAAAGTCTCAAGTGACCTATTGCGATCGCCTTTTGTCCGTCGTCGTCCGTCGTGCGTCCGTAAACAATTTACATTTTCGACTTCTTCTCCAAAACCCCTGAACCAATTTCAATGAAATTTTGCAGGGACCTTCCATGGACAAAGGTCAACAAAATTTGTCGCCGCTTTAGTCCCAAGCCCCCAGGGGCCTGAGGGGCGGGGCCAAAAAGGGTCGAATTGACTAAAATTTCTAAAATCTTCTTCTCAAGACCCAGATATGGTAGAATCAAATACTCTTCATAGATGGAAGGGTTTTAAGGTGCTTTACCGAAATCGTGAATTTTATGACCCTGGGGTCTCACGTTTCCCCCTGGGGCGGGGGTAAACTTTACTATAGTTTATATAGGGAAATCACATTTTGGACCAACATTTGTTTAATTTCCATTGGAAGTAATTCAATTTGGGTTAGCATTATCAGTATTAGGTAGCAGTTTGATAGTATGCCCCTATGAGCCCTGACTGATGGGGGCTGATGGGTGGGGCCGGCCAAAAAGGGTTGAATTGACTGAAATTTCAAAAATCTTCTTCTCAAGACCCAGATATGGTAGAATCAAATACTCTTCATAGATGGAAGGGTCTTAAGGTGCTTTACCGAAATTGTGAATTTCTTGACCCTGGGGTCTCACGTTTCCCCCTGGGGAGGGGGTAAACTTTACTATAGTTTATATAGGGAAATCACATTTTGGACCAACATTTGTTTAATTTCCATTGGAAGTAATTCAATTTGGGTTAGCATTATCAGTATTAGGTAGCAGTTTGATAGTATGCACCTATGAGCCCTGACTGACCCCCAGGGGCTGATGGGTGGGGCCAAAAAGGGTTGAATTGACTGAAATTTCAAAAATCTTCTTCTCAAGACCCAGATATGGTAGAATCAAATACTCTTCATAGATGGAAGGGTCTTAAGGTGCTTTACCGAAATTGTGAATTTCTTGACCCTGGGGTCTCACGTTTCCCCCT